CTGGAATGCTAGTAGATCTGAGGGCTTTTTAATTGATTTTTGAAAGGTTAATCTGTTTCTGAAAAAATTATCTGAACTTGCCTCCAGGTAATAACAAAAGATTTCTGGAGAAATAGACTGTATCACTTTTCAAAGGTTACAGTACTAAATGCACTCAAAATTATATATTTAGAAATATTTAGCATTTATACTTTTACTTACCCTTGCTGTGAATTATTTAACTGAATACATGGTGAAAGAAAAACAAAATGTTTGATCGGTACAGGAATAGCCCATATGTCTTTTTAGCAAAAGTGTTCCATTTTCTGTCTTAAAAAAACCCCAAAAACCAACCAACCAAACAAAAACCAAAAAACCCCCACAAGGGCTTATACAGCAGATGACCTATGTGAGGACTGCGATTGAATAAATGTCTCGATTGGCGTCAGTAACTAGAAAACGTGCCAGCTCAGTAAAACCTATTCAAACTCAAAATTATTTTTAATTTCTTAAATTAATTTCTGTTCTCTTGATTCTTAGTCTGTCTGGATTCTTACTTCCATCTAACTTTATTTTTTTTTCATATGCTTATTCCTGCTTCCACATCCATACTTCAGTCAAACAGTATTATCATCCTTATTCTGTTACACTGAACTCTCAAGATGGATCCTTGGATGACTTGTCTTCAGTGCAGTTTAGAAGAAAAGTCTACAGGGTCAACGGTGTCTTATTCTATTGAAAATCTACTGGCTTGTACAAGGGCTAAAAGGCTCAGTGCCAGTGTTCCCCCAGCACCCAGAATGATACCTGACCTCTGCCAAAAACCTCATCTGTTCCTTCGATTAAAGCCTGTCCTCACAGGGGAGCAGAGATGAAGTGTGACAGAGGCACTTGCATGTCAGCTCGGTGCCGTTGCAGGACCACCCACTGTTTAACCCTCCTATTACTCCCCAGTTGGAAGAACTCTTTGTCCTTGACAGTGCAGTGCTAAAGGGCTGTGCGTCAGCACTGCCTTTCTTCCGCAGTAGCAGGCTTAGCTAATAATCTATGTGTGCAAATAATGTCATTTAATATTTGCCACTGCATTCTGATCCAGACACATTAGACTTGTTCAAAACTGTACAATACATGTGTTTTTTCTCTCTGATAAAAATATTTGCATGACGTGTTTCACTGAAAAACATATTTTCTGTCTTACCATTTAGTATAGTAATAGACAGTGGACTCCTGGAGATCTTCTGACTATGCCGGCTGTCTTCCAAAATGCCAGGACTGTCGACTGCCAATTACCAAATGATGGCCAGCAGTCTGATGTCATGGATGTGGTTGATGATAAACCCATTGCCAAGTGGCAAATAAAGGTATTTACAGAATTTTCAAATATTCACTTACGAGTATTCCTATTAAGATGAAAATATATCACATAGATGTTATTCTTTTTTCAATGGTTCTAAAGGTGGAACTCAGCTTGCCTAACTTAGGGTCTCAGTTTCATCACCTAATCTGAAGTGTTGAGTGTCATTTGAGAGTGTTCTCCTGGAGGGGGACTGTAGATACGACCTAGGTCCTACAGAGGCACTTGTTCTTCAAGAGTAGAAGTTATCCTAGAGCATTTCAAATAACATTGGATACATTTATGGCAGAATTGAATTGAGCCCAGGCTATATGTACTAATCCCTGGATGAGGTAGATGTCTGAGCTCTCATACGGATTGAGTCAATAAGGTCAAGAGAGTGTACATACTGTTCATCTTACCCTAGACACCTACATGTGGTTGGTCAAATATCTGCCTAGACTTATGGGCAGGTTTGACTAGATTTCTGATGACTGTTGTGAGAGTTTAAATACCCATATGTAGTTGTCTGCTAATAAGTGGAAGCTCACGTCAGCAGCCCACACTGGTGATCTGTCTATTGATACCTGTATTGGTTAATCCATTTTTGCTGTACACCTTGCAGATTTCTAATGATGGACTCATTTATAGCAACTCTAAAACAATGATATTATATGATGGATCCTGTCAGACATGTGAATCACAAGAATCTGGGTTATGTACGTTAAAGGTATGTGTTTCACTACTCTCCATTATGAACAAGGGGACCCCTGGTGGCCTAGTGGTTAGCATGCAGGACTCTCACCTCTGCGACCCAGGTTCAAATCCCAGCCAGTCCCCCAGGCAGATGGAGCCCGTTAGCCCTGTGAGGCCATCCATCTATGAGAAGGTCACTCTAAACAAACCTACGTCCTGAGGACCTCACTGCCATTGTCCAAGCTTGCTTGGCCCCGGCAGATGAACCTTAGGATTAAAGGGTGGGCTCAGTTCAGCGCAGGCTGTGTCTCACCTAAAAAATCCATTGCGCAGGCTGGAAAGGTAAAAAGACCTTTCCCCAAATCTTCGTTCGCAAAGACTGGCCATTATTATTATTAAGAACAAAATGCATTTTTTCAGGCAGAAAAAAAATGTAGAAAAATCAGCAGAATGTATCCTGTTCTCTTTTCCAACAGGGATTTTCTATGCACAGAAATGATATGCACAGAAAGACAAGCTGAGATGAGGCAATTTTAAATGCAAAGAATCAAACCAAAAGCGCTTCATATAATTACCAAATAAAACCAAAATTACTGTCAGTTGCTTAGATTTAAAAACAAGCTTAGTTGTTTTTAAACTGTTAGGTACAGAATTATTAGATTTTATTTGGTACTATACAAATTCATAACCAATTTGATAACAAAAAATATTAATAAATCACATTTTTATTTCTGTAAAAGGAGAAAACATGCAACATAGATGGACTCTGTTATGGTGAAGGAGACACAAATCCAACCAGCCCTTGCTTACTCTGCAGACCTGACATATCAAAGTTAACTTGGTCAGTTGTTGAAAGTAAGTTCTAAGTAGTTCTTTTGTTAATACCAAGAAGTTGAAAGTCTACTAAGCTTTTATATTTATGGAAACAGTGATGGTTTAGTTTTAACTATTTACAAATAACTAATGAAAATTAGCAACTTTCAGTTTAATTGGCACTTAGAAGTCTTTTGGTATTTAGCAAGTTACATCCGCATATGGTTGTCTTCAACATATAGATATAAAAAGTATTTTAAAAAAAATTATTCTGATACCAAACAGGTGGAGATCACAAACTGAATTAAATGACATGTCATATTTATTAGGCCCTTAATATTTGGACATCATCTACATCAATGGCATAGATACATGGCCTAAATATTTGAAAGTATATCCAAAATTTTCATGCTTCAGTCCATTTAGAAGCCACACTATGTAAAGAAGACCTAAGATTTTCATTTTTCTTTTCCATAATATAAAGTTCTAGACTAGAAATTGTAGTTCTTTCGGCTCAGATTTTGTATTTTCCATTGGTGTTTATGTGTATGAATGTGCTGGCAAGACTCTGCCTTGACTGGAAAGGGTCTTCTGTGAATGGGACCCCTGCTGCCTGTATTGGTGAATCTTGTCCACATTCAAACTTGTACTGAAAGCCAGCATAGCTTTACCTATTTCAAAAGAGTGAAACTTGAATGAAAGGAATGAAGTTAAACTCATCCAGCAGTCAGGAAGTCAAGGGATTTCCATGTCGTAGTCATACAGTTAAAATACAGTGGTTAAATTCAATAATTTTTTTTTTTTATGTATAGATGCAGTGCATTACAAGCTCTTGCAAAGTAAAAGTAATTTCTTGGTTATGTTGCTATAGTTAAAATGAAAATATCAAGTGTTTTTTCTGTGCCATACCAATGGCATTAAAATTTAAGAGAAAAAATTCCACGTGTCTTCCTTAATAGAAAGATATTATCCTTTTAATTTTTTTAAGTATACTGTAACTTTTGCTTAAAAGATGAAAACATCTTCTTTGTTACAGACAATCAGCCTCCAGTCCTTGAAACTTCTGAGGTTATGCTACAGACTTTTTATGGAGAAGATTTTGTATATCAGTTTTTGGCTTCAGATCCAGAGGGCTCTGCTATTCATTTCACATTAGATTCTGGTCCAGAAGGTGCCAGTCTTTCCCCATCAGGTCTCCTTTTGTGGAAAGCTGTGTCAACAAATCTCCATAAATTAACATTTTCTTTGACAGATGACTGCAATGCAACAACTAAGGTAGAAATAGAGGTAATGAATATTACAGCAAAATGACACCTACTAATAAGATATTTAAGATATCTAATTACAGAACTCTTTGCTAGTTCATTAAAAAAATAGAAAACTGTCTTATTGGGCATGTCTTGTAGGTCAGTGTAAAATCATGTGATTGCCTAAATAATGGCTCATGTGTGACAGACATTAATTTCCCACCTGGAAGTGGAAGATATCTTTGTGTGTGTGTGGCTGGATTTGAAGGTGATCTCTGTGAAGGGAATACTGATGACTGTAGACTTAACCAATGTGGTATTGGCAGATGTGTGGATGGAATAAACAGCTATTACTGTGAATGTCCACCTGAACTTCAAGGTAAATTGCTACTTTATTTACACACATTTATCACGTTCAGTGATAAATAGGAGTTTCTAATTATATGTCTGAAATTTTATTTTTTAATTTTTGACTGTAAATAGCTTACTGTTAGATTATGAAGACATTTTCTGTTCTGGTGATAAAGATATATGGTATACTTCAAGATTTTTCTTGCATGAATACAATGGTTGTTTATTTTAGTTTACTATGAAAGCAAATTTCCATTGTTTTTCTCCACAGAGGTAAACTCAGCAATATGGAGAAACATAGGAATGATGAGTTTGGTTACAGTGTGATTTTTCCTGCAGATAAACATGTAGTTCCCACAACTCATCTTCTCCGTATTCTGCAATAAGGAAGATACTTAATATAAGATGAAAAAATGTGAATTGCAAACCTAGTCAGCTGTTCTTATTAGCTGTACTGAAATGATAGATGCTTTTTTCTCTATTTCAGCACTTGCATACATTGTACTTTTATAAATATGCCATCAAAGTCTAGTGACACAATATTATAGCAAAAATTAAATCTGTAATTTAATGCAGGTAAACATTGTCAAGAGGATGTAGATGAATGTGTATCCAGTCCTTGCTTCCCTGGAGTATTTTGCTTCAATACTTTTGGTTCTTACTATTGTGGTCCATGCCCAAATAATCTACAAGGAGATGGGAAGTCATGTTATGGTAAAATTCCTTGTTTTTCAGAAGAGTAGTACTATCTTACTGTCATTTAGATAAAATATCTTTGATTATGCTTCATGTGTCTAACAATAACTTAAAACTCTTTTCAACAGTCAGCAAAACAGGACTGTGTCTCTGGTGATGGCAATATCAGACTGTACTGGGTTGCATAGCTGTAAAAGACTTCTTCTAGTGACAAAAATAAAAACAGATACAAAACACCCCAATTCTTTTATATCAAAGTAGAATACAAAGAAATTGGGGGGGGGAGTTCTTCATTATTTTCATAATATGAGAAATTATTGACAAAATATTTTTCTATTAGATTGATTAGCATAGAATTAATTACCCAAATCAAGGCATTTGCCAAATAAGATGCCCAAACATTTATTTACAATGCAATTACTAAATAACTTGTATTTTTAAAATACTCTGTTAAAAACTTTTTTAAAGTTATTAAAAAATATTTAAGAAATATTTTTTACTTTTTATCTGCTTTCTGAATTTTTAGTTGTTTTTATCTATTGAAACTTTTACTTTATTTAAAGTTGAAACAAATGTAGCTACTTCTGCGCACTACTAATGTGCCTTCACATATTTTTTTAGAAAGCTTTGAAGACACTGATGTTGAAAGGAAGGATTCCACAGGAGAAATTGGAGGGAATAAAGGTGATTTTTTTCATAATGAGAATTGAATTTCTGATTCACATACTGATCAGAATATAGTTGTCAAACAAAGGGCCTAGTCAGTTTTATTTTAGTTTCATTTTTCAGTTTGACACAATTTAATTCATTACTGGGGTTGTATTCTGATCTGAAAAATGAGACTGAAATGTCAATATCAACAAATCCCTTAGGTCAGTCAAGTCATTTTATTAAGAGTGTGATGTATGACACTCCTAGAATTGCCTTTTGTTTTAGTGACTAACCACTGACATAAAATAGGTAACATGGGGATAGGAACATCTGTTATATGAGATAAGCAAAAGTTTATGGCATTATGTTGAATGCCATTTTCCTGCTTTAACTCAAAGGAAAGGTGAAAGATGTGGCAAGTGATTGTCTTTATTGCAAAACTCTAAATGCTGTTGCTGGCATTTCCAGGTCTATGCCTGCTGGGGCTTTCTTTGCGGGAAATTCTCGTGTGTCTTTTCCCTTTGTCTCTGAATTGTTGTTGAGGGAGAAGGGAGATACTCTCTCACTCCACTGCCAATGCTGGATAACTCTTCATCAGCTGCAAAATGGTTTGCTTTTCAGCATTGGGAGACAGCACTCTAATACAATTCAGTAAAGTTTAACCTTTCGTGGACCACTTTTTAGGACTATTATAAATGGATTGGGGTTTCATTCTTCCTCTGCCCCATAATGCTAAAAGACCACATATGGTTTTGGATTACAGTGCCTTACTCCTTTCCACAGACTTCCAACTTTTCTTGGGCAGAATATAAAGAACGTTTCATTCATTTTGCACTCCTTTCAATGAGGAGGCTGAGTCAGTCTCTGTTGTTTAGCAAACACATGCAAAACCTACTAATAAAGCCCATGTAGAAACTTTAGGAACGTTGCTTAAAAAGTTTGAAGAGTAAAAGATGATAATACTTTCACAACAAGGTGGATTATTCACCGAGAATACTGTCCATGGTGCATCAGTAAGTAAAGTCATCTATATACTTGTGATTAAATTTCTGCTTCTGGACTCTCAGCTTATTACTAGCACTTAGACACACTGATGAACCATATGCAGTATTTTTTCTTTAAATTCTTTCAGCTACCTGGCTGGAAGCCACATATGGAGCTGGTAATCTGCTCTGACAGTAAATCTGTTTATTGATGTGGTATGGGAAAATCTCTGCTATCTAACTCATATATATGGTGATTTCTCCTTATCTTCCAGCCAAGAAAAGGCCATGGTGAGGGTGGGAAAGGACGTAAACAGAATACCTTGATCTTCTCTAATTCTACCAGTTAGGTTCTACTGCTTACATTTTCATATAGCACATGGAGGGACTTCTTGACCCACAGAATGAATGGGCTGTATGTTTATCTGTTCAGAAAGCATTCCTCACGCTCAGAAGGAAAAGAGTCTGTTAGTGTTCACATACTTTTCCCCCCCTTTCTTTCTAACATGCCGCAGGGTTTCAACAATCATCCTTTGAGAAGGTTTTAAGCATCTCAAGCTATATTCCCAGTCCTACAGATGTCCCAAAGAGATTTATTTCTACAGAAATGGTCAGTAGCAGCACACCACCAGCCTCCACAGTAAAAACAATCACTGCCTGGAAGTCACTTGATTCTCAGAGAAGTGCTTCTTTACAACCTGCTGTTACTGGAAACATTGCTCACACTCTCAGGACCATCAGTGGTCACCTTGCTGACATGGAAGCGAGTTCTTCAGTACATACTGTGATGACTGCATCTTCAGGGAGCCATGCTGTATCACCTGAGAAGAAAACAAGGGCACAAACTGAGGCCTACAGCTATTTTGACGCTAGCAGGAAGACTTCTTCTAGCAGCAGAGCAAATATAAGCAAAGGACTTTCTTTGCCAAGCAAAGCATTCAAAGGTGGCAATGCTCAGAGAGTTCTGCACTTATTAGCCAAGCATAAAGCAAGTAATTTACCTTTTGCCCTTGTCAAAGTCACTGTCCCACCAAAAATGCTTCCCAAAGAACTGAGTGAAGCAGTGATTCCTAAAGCAATAACCTGTACTGATTTACCCTGTTTTCCTGGTGTACACTGTGAGCCAAGTCAGGATGGAAGCATCACGTGTGGTCGTTGTCCTTATGGTTATTATGGAGATGGCTTCACTTGCAGAGGTATTACAAATAAGTGAACTTAAATGCCTTGAAGAAAAGAATCTTGAGATGTCTTTATAACTTTAAAGTACATTGTTACTGTATAATCAGTGAAAAGTACGGTGTATTGAATTTTTCACTTTTATTATTAATATTGGCATAGCCTACAGGCTTTTAGTTGTATGGATGCACTTAGAAATATTTTTCTGATGTGTCTTAGACTCCCATTTACAGACAGTGGCATAATGGATTCTCTGTGATTTTTGCATTATGTTAGGCAAAACACAGTTGTGTGAAATGCGACTTTTATTTTCCTTATTCCCTTTGTTTTCTTCATTGCCTTTCAGCAAGATGTAGACAAACATGTGGCAAAAATATGGAGTGTGTGGCACCCAATACTTGTAAATGCAAGCCTGGTTATGCTGGTTATAACTGTCAGGCCGGTGAGTACGGCATTTTGATTTGCCTGTGGTAACTCATATGCACAAATTAATGATTTGAAGAGTGATATTGATTTTTTTGCACAGCTCTGTGCAGACCTGATTGCAAAAACCATGGGAAGTGCATTAAGCCAAATGTCTGTGAATGTCTACCAGGATACAGTGGCTCCACTTGTGAGGAAGGTAAATAGAGTATTTTTTGCTTTTGAATACATAAATACCCAAAGGATGCTGTGAACAACCTCCATGACTGTTCATTCTGACAGCAAAGAGGTGTGCTCGTTTTACTTTTACTTTAACAGAACTCTTAAATAACATGTTGGCATATATCCTAATTTTCGTGATATACACTGTAAATGTTGCTTGTGATTGGATATTCCTAAATTTAGCTTTCACTGTAAGTAGAGGACTTCACCAGTGAATCTAATTGCCCCTAAGCTAAACAGTCCTGAAGAGTGAGAAGTACTCTCTGGAAATTGTGTCAGGTTTCTTTTTTTCAGGGTGGCCACCACTGTTCAGACTGTGTACTGTTGGAATGAAATTCTTCTTATTATTCTTGTCAAAAGGCATTGCATATGTCTCCTTATTTTATTTCCAGTTCTTTGCTCACTGTCAGTTATTAACATTTCCCTTTTTATAAAGCATGACCAATCCATGCATCTTTGTGGAGTCGATTTCTTGAACAACATAATTCTGTACCTGCAGCACATTGTAAACCACCCTGTCAAAATGGAGGCACATGTTTGGCCAGAAATCTCTGCACCTGCCCATATGGTTTTGTGGGACCAAGATGTGATACAAGTAAGCAAAAGAGCATGAGGGAAAAATACAGAACATTTGCTTCTGTTGTTCAGGAGCAAGAAAGTAAATTATGGTTTAAATTTTTGATGCACTTTGTCTAATGCTAGCAAATGACATAATACCTCTGCCTCTTTGAAGGAGCCCATACTTGGGCTTTTTGAACATTACATAATATTTGCACATAACTTTGAAAACATAATGGACTATTAAAGTTTGGCTAGATTTCATACTGGTAATTTTTATCATTCAGAGAGTCCAAATTTAGACATGCTGTTTATATATCCTTCACTTGAATGTACTACTTTATTGACCTTGAATTGAGAAAGTCCTTTGTCTCCTCCTCAAGTCCCAGCACTTTTGCACTCAGTTTTTCTTGTTCTAGTTTCGTTTGTGACACTAAAAAAAAAAAAAGCTGCTCTTTGTTAAGGAGTACTAAAGAGAATGAGATATAGTCTTGAAGAACTGATTCATGGTTTTCCAGAGCCATGATACTTAAATGTCTTTGCTTATTAGTCTCGTGTCACTACAAGCGCTTGCTGAAGTGATGGAAGACATTTGCCTGAACTTTCGTGGAGTCCATCAAACCCATCATGTAACATGATCTACTTGTTTCTTAGTATAGCATTTCCCATTTGCTTTAGAATTTTTTTGAAATTTTCTAGGTTTTTAACACTGAATATAACCAAACCATGGATAATTGCATGGAAAGACATTTTATTTACTTTGTTGTCTGGTGCTAACTATTATGGGTTTGAGACTGGATTAATCTGTTCAGCAATTCCTCTTCAGCTGGTGGAATTGTATGTTATTTCCAGTGTTGATATTTGGGAAAGAACTGAAATATTAATCAAGCATAATTTGTAACATATCTCTTTCTCTCTCCTCACCCCTGTCTCCTCCCCTGCCTTCTCCTTTGTTTTTGCCCAACGTTTTGGACGGTAGTGGTTTGCAACAGACATTGTGAAAATGGTGGTGAATGTCTCACTCCAGACATCTGCCAGTGTAAACCTGGGTGGTACGGACCTACGTGCAGTACAGGTAACACTCCTGCAACTTCCATGTTCCTGAGAGAGTGTCCATGGGACCTCCCATAGTTTGAAATCTGGAACTGTGTGCCTCAGAGAGCAGAGATGGGCAGCTGCTTACTGCAGCAGAGCCCCAGCACTCCCTCAGGACTCTGCATGTAGTTTTGCTGCCAGCAGCGCCTCTTGGAAGTCTTATACTGTTCCTTTAATTTTAGTGAAGATTCTGTGGGAATGGTGTTACCTGCAGTTATCTTAGGTGTTTAGTTACAGTCCTTGCAACACACACACATTTTTTTATATACTTTATTTGGATGTCATGCTTCCCACTCTTCCTGACCCTATTTCTGCAGCAATGTGTGATCCTGTGTGTCTCAATGGTGGTTCCTGTACTAAGCCAGATGTTTGCCTCTGTCCACATGGATTCTTTGGTGCCCAGTGTCAGAATGGTAATATTTTATTTTTTTTCTTACCCTCACCCTTAGCTGCCGATATGAGACAATGTGTGAGAAAACATTAAGACACAAAATTAACAATGAAGTCATGTACTTGAGAAGTGGTGCAAAACAGATACTATGGTTTTTTTAGATTTTACGACTGATTCAATGAGTGTTCAAGGAGAAGGGAGACTCAAAATTTGTCTTGTCTTCCACTCAACATTTGAGCGGCATTCAACCAGTGCCATGTATATTTTGTGTAGTCTAGTTACTCATGTACACATACAGTTGCCATCCTTGACCCCTTTTTACCTGATTTTGTCTTTACTACTGATGGTGGCACCAAACCACATTAATATGATTTTTACAACACTGGCCTGATAGTGCTGAATGCCTATACAAGCCGTCAGAATCTTAGTGTTGCTGTCTTGTTTCATAAAGTATATCACTGAGTCAAACAAAATACAAACTACAGCCTTTTCCTCCTGTTTCTATCTTTTAGCTGTCTGCAGCCCGCCTTGTAAGAACGGTGGTCATTGCATGAGAAATAATGTCTGTACTTGTCCTGATGGGTACACAGGTGCAAGATGTGAAAAAAGTAAGCCAGTGTTAAAATCCTTCCAGGATCCAAAAATAACCAACAAATTATTCTGTAATCAGTTAAATGTATTGAACAGCACATTTTTGATTTTAAGGTATCTGTGAGCCAAGGTGTATGAATGGCGGAAGATGTGTCGGCCCAAACATTTGCTCTTGTCCTTCAGGATGGAGAGGAAAAAGATGTGACACTCGTAAGTACCTTGTAATTAACAGGAGAACCATACCTTAAAAGTAAGATATGATTTAAGGTAACTCTGTCCACAAAAGTAATAGGAAGTTAGTGCCAAAGAACTTAGGTATATACACACATTGAAAAAATAGTAGTCTGTAACTTGGAAGCGAAATTTAGGATGGAGAACTAATACTATGCAGTTCTTAGGCTAAATCATGAGACCAAAATATCTTTTAAGTTCTTGTATAGCAAATATTATCTGTTTCTTTCTTAATTCTTGTCTAAATAAGAAACATCCATATTTCTGCAAGGAGCTGAGTTCAATAAAGTGAAAGAAATTCAATTTGTGCTGTAGTATATAAAATCAGATAGAAAAAGAAGTTCAGTGAAAGATGGGAAAACTGTGGAAACGGTGGGAAGCGATTGAAATAGAAGATGCAACGAGCACAAGCTCTTTAGGACAGGCAGAAATAGGACTGTGATGGTAGAATATCTGTGGGTCACATTGTATCTTAATGAAGATACTGATGGTGCATAAAGAAAATGTGTCAGTGTGGATAAAAGTATAATCTCCATGAAGATCAGCATGAGGATGGGTGGTAGAAATCCCATAGCTAAAGTGTTAGTGTCTGTCATAGTGCTCACCCGAGGCTAGGAATTGATGTGGGCAATGAGCTCTCTAATGGCACGGAGGAAAAACAGTTTTCCCTGTATTACTTTCTGTAATTACTGGAAAGGTTTTTTTTTTTGTTGAAAAAAATATTACCAGTATGGACATGGATGAGATATTCTTGGACACTGTGGAAGAGAGATTTGATTATCAAATAGGCACCTAATGAATGGAAACAATAGCGGGTTAATTATGGTTTAATAAGCAGGGACAAATGTGGAGAAAAATGGGTCACAGAAAATAACTTTGGATCAAATGTTCATGAGTTGATTCACCGTGTGTTCAGTTGCATGACAGACAAAAGATCTCTCACCAAGGTGTGGGGTTTAGAAAGGTAAATTTGGAAAAAACAAAGCTATTTAGCATATTTCAGGCTTTTGTAGCAATCTGTGATGTCACAGAACATCTCAATGTGTGCTTTGGCTGTAGGGCTTTTTGTTTCCAGTTGCCTTTCTTCTTTAATATCCTGTTGATCTTAGATAGATATTTCAGTGAAGATGATGTGACTCTTGTGTATGGAAAGCACTCAACCTCTCATGGGCATCCTGAAATCTGAGTCATAAGTCAAAGTAATCACTTGGAATTTAACCAAACTTTGTGATGATGTTTGTGCAGCAATCTGTCTTCAGGAATGTAAGAATGGTGGGGAGTGTATTGGACCGAGTACATGTCATTGTCCTCCGCAGTGGGAAGGAATCCAATGTCAAACACGTAAGAATGATGTGACCTGAAACCTCTTGCTTCAGCACAGTTCAGACTGCACAGTACAGCCACATGCAGAGCCTTGAAGTTCTATACCTTGGTTGTATTTTACCCTAATCTGTGTCAAAGGCAGGATAAAGAGTAGAGATTCCTCTGCCCATTCTGAAGCCCTCCAGGATATGCTGGCAGTCTGGGACTGTGGCAGTATGTGTTGGCTTGCTCTAATACTGTACATGCTGTACCAGCCCTGAGAAGCCATCGCAATAGCTTGAAATAGTAAGATGCATTAAAAAACATCTTACTTATGTTCCTTGCTCAGTCTCATTCATGCTCTTGGCATGTTCTCATGTTAAATCTGCATCAAAGCATGAGGGGGATGGGATAGGCATAAGAACTTCGTTGGTTCCACATGACCTTTAAGTCTCCTTATGCTGAGGGGTGTTTCCCTGTGAAAATACTGAACGAGTTCTTGGCTCCTATAAGCACACAGAATAAGTATATAGAAATAGTAGCCAGTTTTCCTCCACCAAGGTGTTTCCATGAATAAAACCACATATCTCTTGTTTTAGCTGTATGCAACCAGAAGTGTCTGTTCGGAGGCAAGTGTGTGTTGCCCAACGTATGCTCTTGTCGTCCAGGTTATACTGGAGTCCTCTGTGGGAAGAAAATTCAGGTACATGTGAAG